AGGTGCAAATAGTGTAAATGGCCCGCTCGAGTGTGGTAGGGGGCGCGCCGAATCCAGAGATCCTGCTGCATGACGATGGGATGGTGTAGGTGGGATAGTTAGGCTAGTTGTGAGCAGGAGTCGCAGAAGCAGCAGCAGAATTTCGAAGCTGAAATCGGGCAGTGCTGCTATAAAGTAACAATCACACCCATGGATGTACTTTTGAATGTTTTTATATAAAAGAGTAATGGGTAAAATGCATGGGGGGACGTGCGCAGTGTCTAGGAAGAATCCAAGTTACTTCCTTCCCTGAAGCTACGCTTGTGTATTTGCTGCCTGTGTTTTCAGAGTTTCATCGGCTTTCTCTTAATGTAAATTGTTTAAGCTTTACTACATTTATAACTGTGGGCCGAGATTCTCAGCGTGACCCATCAGTGTCCCCCTCACTGTGCCTTTCTGTGACCTCTCTTCCTCCTTGAAAGGGATTTGTTGACCTAACAGCCACGTGACTTAACCTGGGTAATCCCAAATTGCCTTAAACAACCTTGCATTAACCTGCCTGCAATTAGCAACTGCTGTCACATCGCCAACCCTTGAAGCGTAAGCTGAAGCCTCCCTCCCTCGCCTACCTGTTCATCTTAATTTTACTCACCATCTCAGAGGTTATTGCACTCTTTATTATTCGTTATACTTTGTCTTCTTCCTTTTATATTCATGAATTACAGTAATCTTTAAGCAGATGTTTTAGTGTAATTACATGTGACAAGCATGCTGCTTTTAGCTAACAATATGAGTTCCCCAAAGTATCAATGACTTCTTAAAAAGGACTCAATAATATCCCAATATGCCAAACTTAAAACATGAGTCTTATTAATTATGCACGTTTTGTGTGTTGTCAACACTGGAGTAATGAACAGAAGATGTGCAGTACATCTGGTTCTGCTGATAAATCAGGAGGCTGCGTAGGAAGGATGATCGTAACTTGTGTAACTGCCGGGTGTGGGGTTTTCTCCCCTCTGCTCCGCCTCCCCGCGCAGTTAAATACACAGTGATCTGTGGCCAGTCGGGGTCAAAGGACAGAGGAGAGCAGCGCCCACACTCCTATTCCTGCAAAGCTCAACAAGCACGTCCCCCGCAGCTTTCTTATTCCTCGGTGCAGTATGTCTTGTTAATTTTTGTTACACGTAAGCACTTGGGCAAAGACAAATTTAGTCACGCCTTTACAGATTAAGCATGTTCTGGAGCAGCATGCAATGAATTGGTCTCTTATTTTCCAATTATTTTTCATTCTTGTATGAACGTTTTCACCTTTTGCTTTCTCCAGCAGTTTGCAATTCATATGAAAGAACATCTTCTAAGAATACACCATTTTTCATGGAATACGCATAGACAATCTTTCCGCTTACGTGCTGCTGCGTCCCATGATATGCTCCGGCAGCTTTGTGCACAATTTTGCTGCACTGGACCAAACAGCAGGAAGAACCGAGGTTATGGCATTTACTGTTTGAGCATCGGGTAGTTCCGAGCGCATCCACAGCCTGTGGATCATGGAGAATATGAAACTTTTGCTGTTTACCTGTTATCCCTAGGCGCCTTTGAAAGCCTGCATCGTGAAATTAATTTAATTCCATTCCATAAATGCCTGCAGGATAACACTTGCTACAGGTGGGTTTTGCTATAGCGTTCTTAATTGGCTTAAAGCACCTACCCATGTAAAGAATAGATACAGGTCGTGATATGTCAGAGTTTGCTGTTTTCAAAGTATTTTGAGGCCCAATACTGGGCCTGCAGTCTATGCAGAGTACTTGTGTCCTATGAAAAGATTAAACCGCTGTTAAACTGTGTGCTTTTTGTTTTCCAGAGACCACTGTTTCATCTGTCTTGCATGGCCTTGCTTGTTCATCAGCAGGGGCATAATGTGGATCAAGAAGGGCCAGCTTCAAATAAGATTGTGTTCTTTTTCAGTAACGATTTGGCCAGTTTCATGCCTGCAGCACCGAAGTTTCTTTGGAGCAGTGGCTCGTGAAGGCTTTCTGAAGGGAATAATCCTATTATAGAGTTCATTTGAGTGCTTGGGCTACTTGCAGCCCGTGTTGGAAGGAACGGGAGGGGCACTGCTTTGTAACCGAGACAGGAGATGTGCTAGTGCCTGTACGGAGGGAGGATGCCGTTCAGATTGCCTTGGGTGCTGGTTTTGTCTGCAGTGGGAAGAGCAGCAGTCTCATCGTTCTCCCCCAAGGCTTTGGGAGGGAGAGGGCGCTTTGGGCCCTCTCTGTGGGAGCAGTGGGGGAGCCCACGCTGTGTGGTGCCAGACTTGGGGCAGCAGATGCGGAGAAGCAGCCCATTCCAGAGCCTGACGACCCCTGCTGTGAAAAAAATTTTTCCTAATGTCCAACCTAAACCTCACCTGGTGCAACCTGAGGCCATTTCCTCTTGTCCTATTGCTTGTTACTTGGGAGAAGAGACCAACCCCCACCTGGCTCCAGCCTCCTGTCAGGCAATGGCAGAGGGCGATGAGGTCTCCCCCTCAGCCTCCCCTTCTCCAGGCTACTGTTGTGGATGGAGTGAGAGGGAGGCAAAAATAATACAGTTTATTGGTGTAAAACAGTGAGTTAACAAAGGTCAGTGGTAACTGCGACAATAGTTTATGAGATTCGATGGCAAGGTACACTTTGTTATTTACTGCCCAGAGGACAGGGTCAGACAAAGCTGTCAGGGACCGTTGAGTCATGAGGTTCAGAAAAGATCCCCTTGCTTTCTAAACTCCCTCAGAGAGGAGTCTAGGTGCAGCTGGACCCAATCCTAGTCCTAGACTTGGTCAATGGTTTATGTCTAAAAGGATTAATTGCGCATATATAATCCTTATGTCACTTAGCTAAGATTTCCAAGTTAGCATGCTGTTAGTCACTTACCGAGAATCTGTCGTGGTAAGGAATCTCTCAACCTCGAGGAGTAACCTTGAGAGGCGTCCCTGCTCAAGGGGAGATCCT